GCTGGGATGTGGAGGAAAACACTGGGAGACTTCAGCTTGTTGAGAATGCAGCTGCTAGAGTGCTCACACCACGTACACCATTTCATGAGTACATTACACCAGGCACTCTTATCTCTTCATTGGCTACCGGTCAAATTGCGAGTGGATTTTAAGATACTGCTATGAACCGATAAGGATCTAAAAGGGCTCACACCACCCCACATCACTTGCAGGAACTAATACATTTATATATTACGTCAAGGTTCTTGAGATCTTCTGATCTTCAACTGCTCAGCACTCCTAGGTCTAGGTTGCGCCCTTTTGTCGATTGGGTTTTTGTTAGCGTGGCACTCAAGCTGTGGAAACGTATTGCTACTTGAAATCAGGCAATCGGAGTGGGTAGATATATTCAAGTCTGCAGTGGGTGGGTGAACGGTGCGGTGGGTGGATGGAGGGATGGGTGGGGTGATGCAGTGGTTGGATGGATGGTGCATTGGGTTGATGGAGCGGTGAGTGGGTGGAGTAGTGAGTGGTGGACGGATGGAGCGGTGGGTGGGTGGAGCAGTGAGTGGTGGATGGATGGAGTGGTGGGTGGGTGGAGCGGTGGGTGGTGCGGTGGATGGGGATTCGTATTATTTTTGGATGACGGACCAAATGAGATGTCTTTTTCGGGGCAACAATATCAACAACAAAAAAATCCACGAAACAAAATCGATGTGCCTTTGTCCCACGAATGTGTTTGCGTTCCGTTGGCACACAGGCGTGGTGAACAATGAGCTCCTTCTGTGGTGGCGGGTGGTGAGAGGTCCATAGATCTGCCTCGCGGTGTGAGAGAGAGAGAGTGAGAGAGAGTGAGAGAGGGCTCGCGAGTGATCTCTGAACCGGTCCTGGGCCGTCCTCCAGGTTCAACGTCACCTGAAGTGAGTCCCTGCTGCACCGTGTAAACATCAGCACTGGGGGAGACCAGGGTGGCCAGGCGTGGTGGCTTGGTCACACTGGACTCGGCCCTGATAGTTGCTCGCTAGCGAGACAGAGGGGAATGTTGTGTGTGTGTGCGTGTATGATCACACTACATATATTTATTTGAGAGGGCGTGTGTGTGCGCATGGTTTTGTTTGGTTCGATGTTAAAGCGTGGCCACGCTTGCACGCGTGTTTGCGTGTGGATTTACAAAAGAGAGAGACAGCTCACGGACTTGCGATGGGCGACGTATCGAGTGGCCATAGCTGATGGGGAGTGGCGATTGTGTGATGGGGAGTGGTGATGGGGAGTGGTGGTCACGTGATGGGGAGTGGTGATGGGGAGTGGTGGTCGCGTGATGGGGAGTGGTGATGGGGAGTGGTTATGGGGAGTGGTGATCGCGTGATGGGGAGTGGTGATGGGGAGTGGTGGTCGTGAGATGGGGAGTGGTGATGGGGAGTGGTGATCGCGTGATGGGGAGTGGTGATGGGGAGTGGTGGTCGCGTGATGGGGAATGGTGATGGGGAGTGGTGGTCGTGTGATGGGGAGTGGTGATGGGGAGTGGTGATCGCGTGATGGGGAGTGGTGATGGGGAGTGGTGGTCGTGTGATGGGGAGTGGTGATGGGGAGTGGTGATTGCGTGATGGGGACTGGTGATGGGGAGTGGTGGTCGTGTGATGGGGAGTGGTGATGGGGAGTGGTGATCGCGTGATGGGGAGTGGTGATGGGGAGTGGTGGTCGTGTGATGGGGAGTGGTGATGGGGAGTGGTGATTGCGTGATGGGGAGTGGTGATGGGGAGTGGTGGTCGTGTGATGGGGAGTGGTGATGGGGAGTGGTGATCGCGTGATGGGGAGTGGTGATGGGGAGTGGTGGTCACGTGATGGGGAGTGGTGATGGGGAGTGGTGGTCGTGTGATGGGGAGTGGTGATGGGGAGTGGTGATTGCGTGATGGGGAGTGGTGATGGGGAGTGGTGGTCGTGTGATGGGGAGTGGTGATGGGGAGTGGTGATGGGGAGTGGTGATCGCGTGATGGGAAGTGGTGATGGGGAGTGGTGGTCGTGTGATGGGGAGTGGTGATGGGGAGTGGTGATGGGGAGTGGTGGTCACGTGATGGGGAGTGGTGATGGGGAGTGGTGGTCGCGTGATGGGAGTGGTGACCACTACGGGTTGTGATGTTGCTCTTGGTTGGTGCGTGGTTGTGGTGTGTGGGGTGGTGATGAGTTATTTTGTGTGGCTGTGTGGTTGTGTGATCCTGCGGTCGTGTGATGTGTGGTTATGTGATCACGTGGTGTGATGTGTGGTTGTGTGATCACGTGGTGTGATGTGTGAATGTGTAATCCTGTGGTTGCGTGATGTGATGTGTGGTTGTGTGATCCTGTGGTTGTGTGATGTGTGGTTGTGTGAATCTGTCGTTGTGTGATGTGTGGTTGTGTGGTTGTGTGATGTGTGGTTGTGTGATCCTGTGGTTGTGTGATGTGTGGTTGTGTGAATCTGTCGTTGTGTGATGTGTGGTTGTGTGGTTGTGTGATGTGTGGTTGTGAACGGGGTCCGATTGTATAAATCCTCTCGAAATAAAATCTCACCGCAATCCGGTCAACGCAGAGTCGGACGTGCGGGCAGGCAACCCGCATTTTACCCCACCACAGCGCCATTCCATGTGTAGCGATCATTCATCGCTTTTTTGTTTTAATCATACATGTTCTATTTACCAACATTTTAAAGCGACGACAACAACAACAACAATCATATTAATAACGCGAGGGAAAACAATGGAACACTATGCAGAACTTTAATCTTTTTTTTTTAACCAAAGCATTAAATATTCCCCGGGTAGGACCTTTATTTTGAAAGGACGGGTGGATTTCGAGTTTAAAAGTGGACGTCCCTAGCTGGTTGTACCGCCAAGGCAGAAGCTGTACAGATCGCTGTTGTGACTCGGACCATCCCAGTCAAAGTCTCTCCCCCCTCTCTCTCTCTCTCTGAATCATCTGCCTCCTTCAGACGACTTGGTATCAACCACAGCGCGTGCCTGTGTCTGTGATTGTGGTGGTGTAGCGGTTAGCGCTACGCTGCGCTACAAACCCCGCTCACGGCCATCACCTGTGACGATTATCTGAGCCGGTCCTGGGCCTCCCCTAGATCGACTCAGCATCAAATTAGTACCTGTTGCGATGTGTAGACATCGCCACTGGGGAGACAAAGGCGGTCGGGCGTGGTGCTGGCCACCCACCCCCCCCCCCCCCTCGTGTGCCGTGTGGGCCTTCATAGGTGCTCGCACTTGCCACAACAGTCTGTTAAGGCTATACGGGGGATCTTTGTATTTGTTTTTTTGCAGGAGAATGCAGTGGCCTCGTGGATTAATTACAGCCGTGCAAAAGATTCGGAAAGAAATAGGGAGACATACAAGCTGATAGACCCAACAGATAGACAAGGACGTAGAGAGAGACAGAGAGAGAGACAGATGGATAGAGAGGCACACAAGCAGACAACCCCACAGAGAGCCCTAAAGACAGACAGAGCAGCAGGCAGAAAGGCAGACAAGCAGATAAACCCACAGAGAAACAAACAGAGAGACATGCAGATGCAGACACAGAGACGCAGGCAGACAGGCCAAGAGACGGACCATGCACAGAGTGAAACAAACACACAGATAGCGAGGAAGACGTCACAAACAGAAACCCAGACCAAGACGCATACAGACATACAAAGTGGCAGGACAGGTCTGCAGACAGAAGGAGACAGAGAGACACAGAGACCAATAGATCAACCCCACACACGTCGGCAGACGCCTTACGAGCGCGGCATGCGGTTGCCACCGTCAGCAATTCGGTGTGACCACCGTCGTTGTCGAACAGAAATCTCGACGGAGAACAAGAGACGCGTGGTGCACGGGTGGACAGACGGACAGGGGCACTCGCACCAAAGAGCCCCCGTGTAGCCTGTGATAGACTGTTGGGGCAAGTGCTGTTAGCGAGCACCACCTATGAAGGCCGGCACGGCACACGAGAGGGTTGGGTGGTCAACACCACGCCCGACCGCCTTTGTCTCCCCCAGTGACGATGCTTACTACACACCGGACCGGGTAGTCATTTGAGGCTGAGTCGACCTTGGGGAGGCCCGGGAGCGGTTCAGATAATCGTCACTGGGTGTTGGCCGTGAGCGGGAATCGAACTGGGGTTCGTCGGGTTCGTAGCGCAGCGCAGCGTAGCGCGCTAACCGCTGCACCACCGCTCCCCCTAGTGTGGAATATATTAAGCACTCACACTGGCACGCGCACACACACACACGTTAGCGAGCACCTATGAAAGTGTGCGTGTGTGTTGTGGCGCGCTAACCACTACTACACAACCACTCCCCCACACACCGCTCACACACACACACACACCCCCCCTACACACACACGCAGAGGGCATTGCGGGTTGCCATCATTCGCCAGACAGTGGCCTGCGGCCCAAGCTAAGCAGTGGAAATGTGGCGTGGACACCGCTCGTGACGTGCGATGGCACTGCGTGAAGCAGCGTGCAGCTGCAAGGCTGCTCCTGCTGATGCCGAGGTGACGGAACGTCGTAAGAGTGCAGGGGGGGGGGTAATGTCCGTCGTCGCTTTGTCCGGCAGTGTCCCAAATTGCGTCGTTTCGCAAATTTGCATCGCCTTGAACACCCCCCCCCTCTCCCTCTATCCCCCCCCCCCCCACGCTGAAGATGGCGTGGCTTTCACCCCTTATTTACTCTGCACTGCGAGCGTGACTTGTTGCTGTTGTTGTTTTGTATCGGTTGTTGATGTGACGTCCTGAGCACACCGTGCCCAACCTACCGGAGAGAGAGAGAGAGAGACAAAAAAAAAGAACGAGCTTCATAGCTCATCGGATTACTCCAGAACGAGTGCGTGTTCTGATTACGTCTCCGGCAGCGTCCGTCCGCCCTGTCTCGTTGTGCGTCGCCTCTCAGCCAGCCACGCATCACCACCCACCCACCACCAACCGCCTTACCCACGAACCCTGTAAAATAAAAAATCGCTTCCACGTGCGTCGTTCCGACACCCCGACGTGAGCCCCCTGGGGCTAATCACTGTGGCCGTACTTTCTAAATGCTCCCAGCGGGGCCACCTCTTCCCGCCTGCCCCCCCCGGACCAGTCGACGTAGCCGGCTAATTCCCTCTGAATCAAGACGGACGAACGCGCGTGGACTCCACCGTGTCCCATCTGTATGGTGTTGAGAGCGGCTTAACCCCCAACCCCTCCATCTTCCTCCCCCGCACCCTCGTCCGCACGTGTGGCGGTAGTCCTCCTGGTGCTCCGGTTCGCCTCCCCACGTGTAGACACTCTCATTCATTGGCCGGCACCACCGGGATAGATAGAGGAGGGCAGAGCTTGGGCAATTGTCATTGGCGACGGTTGACCGCGTGGCTGCTGCTGCTGCTGCCGCCTTCCCGCTCCTCGTCTGTGGCTCCTCCTCCCGGCGCCTTTAAGGTCGTCCCCTCTCTCTCTCTGAGTCGTCCTCTCTCTCTCTGAGTCGTCCCCTCAATGTCTCTAAGTCGTCCTCTATCTCTCTCTCTCTGAGTCGTTCTCTCTCTCTCTGAGTCGTTCCTTCTCTGTCTCTGAGTCGTCCTCTATCTCTCTCTCTGAGTCGTCCTCCATCACTCAGTTGTCCTCTCTTTCTCTCTCCGAGTCGTCCTCTCTGTCTCTCTCATCGAGTCGTCCTCTCTCTCTCCGAGTCGTCCCCCTCTGTCTCTCTCTCTCTGAGTCGTCCCCTCTCTATCTCTGAGTCGTCCTCTATCTCTCTCTCTGAGTCGTCCTCCATCACTCAGTTGTCCTCTCTTTCTCTCTCCGAGTCGTCCCCTCTCTCTCCGAGTCGTCCCCTCTGTCTCTCTCTCCGAGTCGTCCCCCTCTGTCTCTCTTTCTCCGAGTCGTCCCCAACTCTCTCTCCGAGTCGTCCCCAACTCTCTCTCTCTCTGCACGAGAGCGAGCGAACATCGTGCAGTGGCGGCGCTGGAGCGTTGCCAGGTTGACACGACGAATGAATGTCCTCGCACGAACGTTGTGTGGACCACGCTTGGTCCTGTCGAGAAGGAGGAGGAGGGAGGGGGTGGTGTGGGGTGGAGGGGAGGGTCTTGGGGGGGGGGGAGGCGAGTACGTGATCCAGCAGTGGATTGACACGAAGCGCTGTCCACTCGTTCCAGAGAGTAACGGAGCTTCCCATCGCGCTCGGAAACACGCAGCGGGGTTTGCTTGCCGTCGATTCACAATTCACCCACCCTGGATACTTATTCTCGTCAGGCTGAGTCTCGAGACTTGTTCGCAGGAGGAGATCTTCCGACCACGAGACGTCGAAGGGACCCCCACCCCCCCCCCCCTTCTCCCACCACCCCCCCACTCCACGTGGATTCTCTCAACACACGGCATTGGGCAGCTCCGCGCAATGGGACGGCAGCGACACCGCTCTGAGCTCCACCAAACCCTCTCCGGCACCACCACCACCACCACCACCTCCTCGTCCGCCTCCCCGTCTCACACCACCACCTCTTCTACCCGGCGGCCTCGGCGGCCTCACCCCGAGGGCAACCCCCTGGTAGCGGCGTCTCCACAGCAGGTAGCAGCCCCCGAGGCAGCAGGCGGCGGCGCACACGTTGAGCAGCACTTGTGCCGCTAGGTAGGAGCGCAGCGCCCCCGTCACAGAGCGGCAGCCGACGCCGGCACCGGCGTGGAGCCCCGCGTAGGTGAGGGTGCGAGGCGCCGGCAGCGGTGGGAACGACGCGGCCGCCTTCGATTCGCTGCGGTCGACGAGACGGCAGTCGCAGATGCCGCCGCCGCCGCCGCCGCCGCCGCCGCCGTCGCCGTCGCCGCCGCCCCGACTGCCGCTGTCGCTGTCGCTCCGGCCGCTGCCGCCGCCGCCGCCGCCGCTGTGGCTGCCGCCGCCGCTGTGGCCCTTGCCACCCCCGCGGCTGCCCCCCTGGGTGCGAGGGTGGCAGATGGAGCTGGCGAGGAGGGCGCCGTGGTGGGCGGCGAAGCACGCAGCGGTGAGGGACAGCGCCGCGCCCAGCGTGCAGCACAGGAAGTAGGCGACCTGATGGGGTGAGGGTGCGGGTGGGTGGGTGGGTGAGGAGTGAGGGTCACTGAGTGTGGGTGGGTGGGGATACCAGCAAAACAACCCCCGACCTCCTTGTGGTGCCGCACGGGCAAAGCGGTCGTGGGCAGTGCCGTGGGGGGAGGGCCAATTCCGATTGGCCTTTCCCCTCATGGCGTTTGTAACCACCACAGCGGCTAAATGGGGGCTCTGGATGGGTGCGAGGGGCTGGTAACCCCTCCACCTTCAATAAATTACCACTAAACCACGAACACAAAATGTAATAAATAAGCTTGTGCCGGAGGCCCCGGGGGGACAGGCGTCTATGACGTCTCCTGGCCAAACCCCAATTGGTGAAGCCAGGAGATTGAATATCTACCCTCGGGGCTCCTCCAGAAACAACAAGAAACCACTACGGGTGGCCACGTGGAATGTTCGAACGCTCACTGCGGAGGAGAGGCTGCCACTCCTCTGTCGGGAGCTGGACTGGTACCGCCTGGATCTCTGTGGTATTCAGGAGGTCTGGTGGACCGGCTCCAGCTCCTGCCCCCATGAGGGGTGGACAGTCCTCTAATCGGAGCAGCAGACTGTCAAACAACAGGGTGTGGCTCTTCTTCTGAATAAAAGAATTAAGGGCGCGTGGGAGCATGGCGGTAAGGTGTGGGAAGCTGTAAGCCCCCGGCTACTTTGGGCTCGCCTTCCCATCAACCGGAGGCGAGGAGTGGTGGTCGTGGTTACTTATGCCCCCACCGAAGACGAACATCCTTGGAGGGATGCAGGCAAGTCCGATGAGTCAGATGCCTTCTATGACCTCCTGTCACAGGTGCTGGCTAAAGTGGCCCCTCGGGATAGAGTAATCTTGTTGGGTGACTTCAATGCCCGAGTTGGTCATGATGCTGGCACCTGTTCTGGAGTAATTGGAAGGCATGGGCCAGATCAGCTCAATAACAACGGCAGGAGGCTGCTAGATTTTTGTGCAGCCCATGGGCTTGTAATTACTAACACGCTGTTCCGGCATCGGCGCATCCACACCACATCATGGATGCTTGCCGGGTCCAAGCAAGAACATCTGCTGGACTACATAGTGATGGAACAGCGAATGCAGGCCCATGTCCTTGACACCAGGACCTAACGTAGAGCTGATCTGCCCACTGACCATCGATTTGTCATCTGTAAGGTGCTGCGCCTGCTATTCTTCCACGCCGGTGGTGGGCATTCACCCAGGGCCCTATTCAAGCCCTTAGTGGCATGGTCTCAGCTAGCTGATGAAAGTTGCAAGCGAGAATTTCATCATCACTTGCAGCTGGGGTTGGCATCGTCCCCAACTCCTCCTGATGTCGAGGGGAAATGGGCGAGGTTTAAGACTGTGGCTCATGCAGCTGCAATGGCTGTTTTGGGCACACGGTCCAGACATCTCCATAGGCCCTGGCTGACAGAGAAGGTGTTCAAGCTGGCTATAAAAAAGCGACAGGCCCACTCTCATCGGCTACAGCATCCCACGTCTGAGAATCAGGAGGCTTACCGCAGCCTTCACTCGGAGGTTCGGAGAGCCGTGAAGCGCTGCAAGGATGGGTGGTGGTCGCGGGTTGCTGAGGAGACGGAGTCTGCCTCAGTGGCCCGCGATCACAAATCTCTATTTAACTCCATCAAAAAAGTAACCTGCAGCGCCATACCTATTACCATCATGAGGGGAAAGAATGGTGGTCCAATCTCCGACCCCCAGGAACAGGTTTGTAGATTTGCTGAGCATTTCTGTGAGGTCCTGGGGGAGAGGAAATCCCTCAGCCAGGAAAACAACGTGGGACAAAGTGGGGATGACCCTGCTGAGGCTGCGGTGGCTAAAATTGGAGGAGAAAGTCACCCCCTGTGAGTGGCTGGCTGAGGTGCCATCCGTTGAGGAAGTACTGAAGGCAATCCAGAGTCTGAAACCAGGAAAGGCACCGGGCAGAGATGCTGAGGGAGGGTGGATTTGTGCACAGACTGCCCTACATGACATCATAACAACAGTCTGGACCACTGGATGGGTTCCGCAGGATTGGAAGGATGCCTTGGTGGTCTCCCTCCTTCAGAAGGGGGACCGCACAGACTGTAACAACTACAGGGGCATCTCACTCCTCAGTGTGCCGGGAAAGGTCCTGGCAAGGATTATTCAACATTGCCTTGCTAGGCACGCTGAGGGGAGGCTTGCGGAGCCCCAATGCGGTTTCAGGAAAGGGCGGTCCTGCACAGATGCCAAATTTTCTGTCCGTCTACGACAGCAGAGATGTAAGGAATTCCAACAAGGCCTACATCTCTGCTTTATTGACCTGGTCAAGGCCTATGAACAATCAGTAGGCCTGGGCTCTGGGTCGTTCTTCGTGCTTTTGGAGTACCTGACCCTCTGCTCACGATCATTAAGGACCTTCATGATGGTGAGCAGGCCCGGGTAAAACTACGTGGCCGGGAGTCAGAGCCTTTCCCTGTACACCTTGGGGTGTGACACGGATGTCCTCTGGCTCCCACATTATTTAACATCTATTTTGACCACGTAGTTCGTGAAGCCTTCAATAGCTGTACTGGAGGAATTTCTATTTGGTACAGATACGATGGCAGGCTGATCAATGTCCGGGTGCGGTCAAGGGATGGCTCCATATTGGTCAACCATGTTATGTAATGCTGATGATCTGGTAATTGCTGCTCACTCAGAGGAGGAGTTGGAGGCGCTCCTGCTGAACCTGGAGCTTGCCACCAAGAGGTGGGGCCTTACCATCAGCCCCACCAAAACTAAGCACCTGCCTGGGTATTTTGTACCATCGGACACTCCCACTTGGTGATAGGGCAGTTGTGGAAAGAGTGGAGAGTTTCCTATACCTTGGAAGTGTGCTCATGACCGGCTCCGGTTTAACAGCAGAGGTCTCACTCCGAATCAGTCGAGCGGCATTATCTTTTCATCGGTTGCGTAACGCTGTGTGGAAGCTACCTGGTCTATCACTCCGCACGAAGTTTCAGGTCTTCCCTCCCTTCTCTACACTTGCGAAACGTGGACCCCCCAAATGGAACATCTTCGCCGGTTAGAGACATTCAGGCTGGCCTGCCTACGATCCATCCTGGGTTTAACCAGGCTGGATTGTGTGAGGAGCTCACAAATCCTTGAAAGATCTGGACAAAATCCCATCGGTGAGCAGGTAAGGCTGCGTTTGCTGGGTCATGTAGCCCACATGCCAAGCCACCGCATGCCTAAACAGCTTTTGTTCGGCCGGATCGAGGGGGCTAAACGGGCGCGGCACGGGCTAGAGAAGAGATGGAGTGATGTGGTACAGGAGGACGTGGAGCTGAGTGGACTTGCCGATGACCGGTACCAGCGGTGTCAAGATCGGCCTCTGTGGAGGAGGCTCGTGAAGGATGCTACTGGGCAGTTGGAGGCAGTTGCCCCCCAACAACAACGGAGGGCGGAGGAGCGACACTCACAACAACGAGCAGAGCGCTGGTTGGCTAAAGCACAGCAGGTTGGCACAGTAGGGGGCACAGGTGGTGCATCAGCCAGTCGTCTCAGTCAGTCGACCTGTGGCATCTGGGTCTGCCCCGTTACCTCCTGCCAGTGGGCGTTGGACACTTCACGTGGACTCAAGGTGCACATAGGCTGGCACAAGCGTCGTGGTGACATCACCGCCACTTAGTGGCGAATGGCGGTTGTGGGTGTGGGTGAGGGTGGGTGAGTGTGGGTGGGTGGATGAGCGTGGATGGATGAGTGTGGGTGGATGGGTGAGTGTGGGTGGGTGAGTTGGGTTGGTCTGTGAGTGTGCGTGAGTGAATGTGTCCGTGTATGAATGAGTGTATGAATGAGTGTATGAATGAGTGAATGAATGAATGCATGAGTGTATGAATGAGTGAATGAATCAGTGAGTGTGTGACATACGAGGGTGGTTCAATGCACTCGCGGACTCACAGAGAGCAGAGCTATAACTCAAGGCTCGTGGCAGTGCCCTCCCCTGCGTCTCACGCGGGCTGCGTCTCGTGCTGTGTCTCGTGCTGTGTCTCACGCGTGCTGTCTCACACGTGCTGTGTCTCACACGTGCTGTGTCTCACACGTGCTGTGTCTCACACGTGCTGTGTCTCACACGTGCTGTGTCTCACACGTGCTGTGTCTCACACGTGCTGTCTCACGCGTGCTGTGTCTCACACGTGCTGTGTCTCACACGTGCTGTGTCTCACACGTGCTGTGTCTCGCACGTGCTGTGTTTCACACGTGCTGTGTCTCACGTGCTGTGTCTCACGCGTGCTGTGTCTCATACGTGCTGTCTCACACGTGCTGTGTCTCACACGTGCTGTGTCTCGCGCGTGCTGTGTCTCACGTGCTGTGTCTCACGCGTGCTGTGTCTCATACGTGCTGTCTCACACGTGCTGTGTCTCACACGTGCTGTGTCTCACACGTGCTGTGTTTCACACGTGCTGTGTCTCACACGTGCTGTGTCTCGCACGTGCTGTGTCTCACACGTGCTGTGTCTCACACGTGCTGTGTCTCGCACGTGCTGTGTCTCACACGTGCTGTGTCTCACACGTGCTGTGTCTCACACGTGCTGTGTTTCACACGTGCTGTGTCTCACACGTGCTGTGTCTCGCACGTGCTGTGTCTCACACGTGCTGTGTCTCACACGTGCTGTGTCTCGCACGTGCTGTGTCCACGGCGCAGCGCCTCCCCCCACCCCCCTCCACCCCTGTCCCGTGTACGAGTGGCTGATTTCCCGGTGCAGCACACAAGCAGCGTCACTCTGCTTGACCCACGACCTCGCACAAGCGCTCCTCCTTCGGGGGGCCACACAGATGTCCCGTGTCCCCATGTCCCCGTGTCCCCATATCCCCGTGTCCCTGTGTCCCATTGTTTCCCGTGTACCCGTGTCCCTGTGTCCCATTGTTCCCGTGTCTCCATTGTCCCCATTGTCCCCAATGTCGCCGTGCCCCCTTACCCTCACATTGATCATCCTCGCCGTCTCCTCCTCGTGGTGGTTCATGGACTGCATGTAGAAGCCAAGTGTGGCAGCCAGACACACCTACACACACACACGGGGCACACACCCACCCACCCCACCCCACCCACAGAGCCAGGCAGAGCACGATCAATCCACTGCTGGATGAAGTTCTGCCGATGCGACAGGGTCCGCCTCGCCTCCAGCAAGCACGCACACACGCACCAAGCTGATTCCATTGCCAAAGGGTGAAATAAATAAAATAAAAAAACCTCGCAGAGTCCATTTCATTATGAGCGATTTCACATCGGAGCTTAAACTTTGCACGAACCGTAACGGAACGAATGGGTTGCATTTGTCGAATTTCAAATGGCCTCTCTTTATTAAGTAATGCATGGAATTTTTGGACGCATGTATTTCAATATTGGAGAAAAAAAACACACGAGTTCATGCAAGCAAATTATACGTGTGGGGATATGATTATGATGATAATGCTTTTTCTATGGTGTTGAGATTTATATAGCAGCATCGTCGTCATTCGCTTGAATTGCGTCTCTGGCAATCGCTGAAGAATCAGAAAATGTATTCATACTGCGGGAGGCATCCGATGAGCTATAAAGCTATTTGACAATACAACAACAAACACAACATAACAACAATACAACAACAACAATACAACAACAATACAACAAACACAGTACAACAACAAACACAACAACAAACACAACACAACAACAAATACAACAACAAACACAACACAACAACAAACACAACACAACAACAAACACAGTACAACAACAAACACAGTACAAAACACAATACAACAACAAACACAATACAACAACAAACACACTACAACAACAAACACAATACAACAACACGATAGCAGTACAAAGTGCAAGAGAGGTAAACACCCAAACAAAGACGAATGCAACACGAAACCATCCCCATCCTACCAGACAAAGCCACCTAGCCACAAATGATAGCTCAACAAAGTGGCCCCATCATTTGGACATTCATAGCGGCTAAATAATCTACATAATCTAAAAATTGTGGAAGGAAGAACCGAAGGATTCGGCATACGCGAGCTGAAAGCAGCAGCTGCAGTCAGACAGTGAAGCCGATGCTACAAATGAATGCCCAAGCTCAGCAATCCTCTACACAGTACGCTGTTTCCACCCCTTCCAGATAGTTTCATAGTTTCATTTCATAGTTTCATTTATTTGGTATAGCCCTGTGAGCCAAACAAAAAAACAAAAATATGAACAAGAAAACATCTTAAAGTGACTATGTGACTGTGCAAACAGAAAATCCAGGAAAAAAAAAAATCAAAATATTCCTGAAATAGCACCGTACACCAACGCTGTGTGCAAAAATCCCAGTGGGATGCAAGTCAAACAACAACAACAAGAAAACTTAGATTAAGGGCATCAGTCTACAGTGAGGGAAAAAGTATTTGATCCCCTGCTGAATTTGTACGTTTGCCCACTGACAAAGAAATGATCAGTCTATAATTTTAATGGTAGGTTTATTTGAACAGTGAGAGACAGAATAACAACAAAAAAATCCAGAAAAACGCATGTCAAAAATGTTATAAATTGATTTGCATTTTAATGAGGGAAATAAGTATTTGACCCCTCTGCAAAATACGAATTAGTACTTGGTGGCAAAACCCTTGTTGGCAATCACAGAGGTCAGACGTTTCTTGTAGTTGGCCACCAGGTTTGCACACATCTCAGGAGGGATTTTGTCCCACTCCTCTTTGCAGATCTTCTCCAAGTCATTAAGGTTTCGAGGCTGACGTTTGGCAACTTGAACCTTCAGCTCCCTCCACAGATGTTTTTATGGGATTAAGGTCTGGAGACTGGCTAGGCTCCTCCAGGACCTTAATGTGCTTCTTCTTAAGCCACTCCTTTGTTGCCTTGGCTGTGTGTTTTGACTCATTGTCATGCTGGAATACCAATCCACGACCCATTTTCAATTCCCTGGCTGAGGGAAGGAGGTTCTCACCCAAGATTTGACGGTACATGGCCCCGTCCATCGTCTCTTTGATGCGGTGAAGTTGTCCTGTCCCCTTAGAAGAAAACACCCCCAAAGCATAATGTTTCCACCTCCATGTTTGACGGTGGGGATGGTGTTCTTGGGGTCATAGGCAGCATTCCTCCTCCTTCAAACACGGCGAGTTGAGTTTATGCCAAAGAGCTCAATTTTGGTCTCATTTGACCATAACACTTTCACCCAGTTGTCCTCTGAATCATTCAGATGTTCATTGGCAAACTTCAGACGGGCATGGATATGTGCTTTCTTGAGCAGGGGGACCTTGCGGGCGCTGCAGGATTTCAGTCCATCACGGCGTAGTGTGTTACCAATTGTTTTCTTGGTGACTATGGTCCCAGCTGCCTTGAGATCATTGACAAGATCTTCCCGTGTAGTTCTGGGCTGATTCCTCACCGTTCTCATGATCATTGCAACTCCACGAGGTGAGATCTTGCATGGAGCCCCAGGCCGAGGGAGATTGACAGTTCTTTTGTGTTTCTTCCATTTGCAAATAATCGTACCAACTGTTGTCACCGTCTCACCAAGCTGCTTGGCAATGGTCTTGTAGCCCATTCCAGCCTTGTGTAGGTCTACAATCTTGTCCATGACATCCTTGGAGAGCTCTTTGGTCTTGGCCATGGTGGAGAGTTTGGAATCTGATTGATTGATTGTTTCTGTGGACAGGTGTATTTTATATAGGTAACCATCTGAGATTAGGAGCACACTCTTAAAGGGAGTGCTCCTAATCTCAGCTTGTTACCTGTATAAAAGGAGCACTCCCTTTAAGAGTGTGCTCCTAATCTCAGCTCGTTACCTTTATAAAAGACACCCGGGAGCCAGAAATCTTTCTGATTGAGAGGGGGTCAAATACTTATTGCCCTCATTAAAATGCAAATACATTTATAACATTTTTGACATGCGTTTTTTTTTATGTTTTTGTTGTTATTCTGTCTCTCACTGTTCAAATAAACCTACCATTACAATTAGAGACTGATCATTTCTTTGTCAGTGGGCAAACGTACAAAAACATCAAGGATCAAATACTTTTTTCCCTCACTGTAACTCCGTACTACAATAAACAAAAACATGGCCAAACCAAAAAACTTTTAGAAATCACCAAAATAAAGGCATAAATGCAATGTAACAGTGATCATAGGAACTGTGACCGAATTTTTTACAATAAACTACATAAATAACATGTAACACCAAACCCTAGAGCCACAGCTGGCTGCATGAATTACCCCACAAACAACAGGAGCATCAGTCGGAGTATCACATTTTTCAATGCACCTTTAAGATCAGCACGCTAAATCAAAATACAGTTAATACTTTGCAGCGGTCATCCGGATTGAAACATTTTATTTTATTTTAGGCCACTGAATAGCAGTGGCAGCTAGTGGTGTACAACTCCTCTAGAGCAGTTTTGAGTGAATATCTCATAGGTAGTGATTCAAGTTGCAGTTTATTGGCAATAGCATTCCAGACCCTGGGGGCATCAATAGCAAAGGCCCTTCCTCCGGTTTTTGTACGGCAATAAGGAATGTGAAGCTGGTAGATGAGCGAAGACCTGAGGTCAAATTGTTCTTTAAAACAGAGAGGAGATCCAGCAGGTAGTCTGCGGATTTTATTGTAAGTACATCGTGAATAAATAAGATCTGGTGCACAAGCCGTCGAACATTAAGAGATGTTAAGTTTGACCCAATGTAGAGATCACAGTGGTGAGTCCTATATGGGCAGTTCAATGCAAATCTTAAGTCCGAGTGATAAATGGAATCAAGCTTCTTCAGTACCGTACTTGGGGCTGATTTATACACGATATCACAGTAATCAAGTAGAGGCAGTATGGTAGCTTTTATCAATTCCAAACGGAACATAGGGGGCAAGCAGTGCTTGTGTCGATACAGAAAACCAATTTTTATTTTTGTCTGCACCGAGTCAAACGGATCAAGGTGAGCTTTTACAGAGTGCACCCAGGAGTAGCTTTTTGACAAGGTGCACCCCAAAGTGTTCCTCGGATGACCACGCCCACTCGCCTGCGATTGGCTCAAGCGCACAGATGGTCACGCCTCCCGAGTATTACCTAGGAAAGGCGCCGCAGTGGCTAGGAGATGTTAACTACCTCGCCTGGTGTGCAGGAGGTCGTGGGTTCGATCCCGACCCTGACGCCTGCTGCTGTATATTTGGATAATTGAGGTTGTTGGGTTAGATAGCATAGATATTAATGGTGTCGTTAAACCCGCCACCACCCGACACAGCCAATCAGTGAACAAATCAGTGTCACGTAAACAAAACCGGGCGACCCGACTTCGAATCCAACGGCCAACACCCGGTGACGATTATCTGAAACGGTCCTGGGCCTCCCCTAGGTCGACTCAACCTCAAATGAGTACCCTGGTGCGGGTGTGTAAACATCGCCACTTGGGGAGACAAAGGCGGCCGGGCGTGTTGCTGGCCACCCACGCCCCTCGTGTGACCTTGCCGGCCTTCATAGGCGCTACTCGCTAACAGCAACTTGCCCCAGCAGTCTGCTCACAGGCTACACGGGGGATCTTTGTCTCTGATCCACCAACCCTCGCTGCCTGCACTCAATGCAGGATTGCAGGTCACGTGCCGCACCCCGCAACTACCGCCCGGCTGATGGGGGGGAGCAAAGAGGCTTGTCAACTATTTCGAGAATGATAAAAAAATAGAATTGCACACGTAAAGAATCTTGGCGGCGGTCCAGACGTCTCTTGGACACACCCCTAAGTCAGCTCAGACTGAAATAAGTCCCCCCCCCCCTTTTTGCCGAGTGACTTTGAAGATTAATGTATTTCTTTTCAACAGAGGCCGACGGGTTGGGGGTGGGATTGGGGGGCGGTGAGCGGGGAGTGACACGGGTTGAACGCTCACTCACGCACTCATCCATCCATCCAGCCACTCGTGTCCTTTATTTAACAAGGTTACGCTGCTTTTCATACAGCTATGATGTGGCAGGTTATTATGGGTAATATTTGTGCTGTTGAAGATGAATAAATAACATTGCGGAGCCCTTTGTCTATTTATGG